GGCTGACGCCAGTTCCGACTTACATACAGATTCAACTTAGAACAAACCTACAGTCCCTATCTTGTACGTAACCCAGGGACTGCCTGTATACGCTTAAATTCCACTGAAATCCTTAGCACAGATGCAATTATGTCTGTGTGTAAGTAGTTTCCTGACCTTGCACCTATGACGACTGTAAACTTTCCAAGGCAAGGACTTGTTTCTCACTATGAGAGTATTCAGTGCTTGGGATAAAAGGGTCCTAGTCTCAAATGGGCCGTGAAGTGCTACACTATTACCAACAAGTATAATAATTAATATCTGAGGTTGGTTACACTCTCAAAAAAAATCTCTTCTCACTAAATATTCCAGAAGAAACACCCTTACTTACTAAAAGGATTCAACACTCAATGTAAAAATGGTTTTAAAAAGTAACGGTGTAACTGTTAAAAATCTTAGCAGTTACACACTTAACTGTTTTTGGCTGGGTGGCACTAAGGAGGAAAGAATGGTGGAGAGGTATCCCTGCGGCTCCTGGGAAGCCAGCTGCTGTCCCACGCTGCAGACTCTGCAGTATTGGGCTTATACTGCAGAGCCCACAGACCAGCCAGCTCCCCAGAAGCAGGGCTAGTAACTGATGCACATATACCAGCTCCAGCTCCTAGCCCTGCTCCCAGGGAGCTGGCTGCTGCCCCACATTGTGACTTCTGCAGTATAAGTTTTATACTACAGAGCTCGCAGTGTGGGCTGCTGACTCCCTGCTAGGAGCGAGGCCAGTGTCCCAGGAGGGGGGCTGGCAGAGCCCGCAGCATGGGGCCGGCAGCCCATGCACACCAGGAACCAGCTTATAAGCCTTATTTATACTGACGAGCCCATAGCGTGGGGAAGCAGCCAGCTCACCAGGAGCTAGGCCAGCAGCTGGGAGCTGGTTCACTGTGGGCTCTATTCACTTTATACTGCAGAGCCCGCAGCGCAGGGTCTGCAGGGCAGAAGAGTTTAACTATAACGGAAACCGATAAGCTGATGCTTATTGGTTAACTGGTTAATAGGTTAAATTCTTACATCCCTAACACCCAAATCATCCAATGCTTTGGAAGCATAGCTCTGTCTTTCACAAGCTTTTTCTTTTCAAATCCCTCCCTGCCATTTTGCAGATGCAGTTCCACAGTGGAGGTGAGAATGCCACTTACAGACATTGTGTGCAGCTTGGATTTTTACAGGTAAATGCCTGGGAAAGGAGAAGTGTTGATAATAAAACCCGGAAATCATTAAGGAATAAAGCTCAGGAAGTGTCATGTTGACTTAGCTGACAATTTTCGAACGAACAGACATTCGCACTGCGTTCTAACTGTAGGTAAAAAATGAATAGGTAAGTATGTTTGCTTAAGATGCAGTTGAGTAAGTATAGTATTGCTATTTCTATTTTCCATTTAGTATCCCCTGGGCAGTCAAAAACAATTGTTTGCAACTCTTAACTTGGATATTATATCATTCCAGCAACCAGCATTGATAACTCTTGGGAGACAAAATAAAACAAGCAGCCAGATAGGTACTGTGCTAAGAATGATGCCTGTTCCGGTGAAAGGATGGCGACATCTGCAGAATTGCAGTGGTACTGCAATCCCCCTTGTCCTACTGTATGCAGAATGAATTTTCATTCTAAGGACCAACAATAAAAATTAATAAATATGTGAGTACCATAAGTAGTAGGACATTGGTCCTCCTTCTCAGCAGCTCTACACAACCTCATGCAGTCATTTATACCAATGTAGAGTGCAAAATGCTACTAAATCAAAATGAGTTTTTCAAAATGCTTTGTACTGCTGTATAGGAGTACAAATGGTGCAGGGAAATGGAAAATCAGGCCTAGTCAGTCTAAATGAACAGAGAGCATTGGCTGGAAGTAGCAAACATCTTCTCTTTCCAACTTTCTTTTAAGCAAGTTTCAGGAAACTCATATTTTCATATCAGGCAGTACGTTTACCAGCCAAACAAGAGCTACCAGAATGGCAGCATAATATATAGTCTGTCTTTTTCTTATGAATAGCCGCTCTTGAGATGCAGAATCAGACTGGAATAAACTGGAATAAAACTACACCCAGAAAACAAAAATCACTGGAACCTGGCAGTTCATCATCATTCTCCATCCAAAGTTTTCCAGCAAGCTCAGACAGGACTAAACACAGCTGTATGCAGAGGGCAACACAACATGAGACTGTATATCTTACCTCTGTTGTTTTATCAAAAGCAGGGGTATTTGCCTCCATTCAACCTGCTTCATTTTCTCAGGCAAGCATTTATATCCTTCAACAAAAGCTTGTCTAAGAAATCTAAAATTCTGTGTAAATAATTAGAATCAATACAAAGAAAGAGTCAGGTAGCCCAAAGTTAGCTCCTAGATATTGGGAATCAGAATTTGATACCATTATTATATTTCTATTTGTATTTAGATTATTCTAGAGGATCCAACCAAGACTGGTGCCCTACACATATAAATAAGAGGCAGTCTCCATCTAGAAGAGCTTATAATCTAATAGAAAAGGCAAAAGAAGGGAGAAAGGGGCAATTATATCCCCATTTTACAGATGGGGAGCTGAGGCACTGAGAGGTGAAGCAATTTGCTCTGCTCACACAAGAAGTCAATGTCAGAGCATAAAGTTTAACGCCGATCTCTCAAGCCCATCCATTGCCTTAATCACAAAACCATCCTTCTCTAACTCAGTGAAAGCAATTTGGAGTTTCTGGCAGATAAATTGATACAGTGGACCTCTAAGGCCATGTCAACATTGCAGTTAAAGGCCCTTAGCTGACCCAGGTTCAGCTGATTTGAGCTCAAAGAGCTGTAAAATTGCTGTGTAAATACCGGGGCTGGAACCTAGTCTCTAGAACCCCACAACCATAGGCAATGAGTTATATGGGACCTTGGTATTTGTGCTCCACCAATATTCCAAAAGGTGGCCCAGCTCCAGCATAGTACAAACCAGGGAACCTCCCCAGGCCCTGAGCTTTGGCGGGTCCTGGGCTACAGGGAGATGTGGTATCCAGCACAGCCTGGAGGGTTAGCGGGGGGCCAGATACCAGCAGCAGTGATCAACCTGCCCCCAACCTGCTCGGCTCCCTCCTCACTCCAAGCACTTCCTCCCCCTGCTGGCAAGAAGAAGGCAAGGAAAGTGCATTTACTGTTTACTGAACGTGTAGTTTGGAATGGTTACTTATGTAGATTTAAAAGACCATTTGTGACTGTTCAGTGCCAGTCCTTGGATTCACAATCCCTGCTGTTGAATATTTGCAGTGTTCTTTAGATCTAGTGCTTTGAATAGAGATATGTAGGAGATGAGGGAAGAGCTGGCACAGCTGTCTTTTTTATGGCATATTTAATTTATTTACATTCATAAGAGTGGACAGAAAAGACACTCATCCAATGCCTTAGGCACCTTTGACCAGCAGCAACCTCCACCGCATGCAGCATCAACCAATTAGACCATACAGCAAATGGTGGGAGGGAAAAGGAGGAAAACAACAAGGCCCACAGACAAAATTAGCCATTAAAGCACCCACCTCCTCCAAAGCCCCCGGAATAACTGAGTGTAATTGAATGTCAACAAATCTGCTACATTGGTGCAAGGATCCAAAGCCAAGGAGCAGTGATTATGCCTATCCCGCCAGCAGCTTCCCATCAGTTCAGATGCTCCTTTCCTTTTCGTAGGAAAGGAAAGCAGTTAGGAAACCTGCCGTTAGGAAATCTGCACAGGAGCTTTCAGAAAATCTGCCTACCAAGTGCTCAGGCAACTTGAATAGCCGAACACCAGCTTTGAAAATCCCTGGGACACTAAGGGTATGTCTACACTCGCAGCTTCTTGTGCGAGAAATATGCAAATGAGGCTAATCATGGAATATCGCCGTTATTCCTGAATAAAATCGGCGTAGCGGCATTGCACAAGAAGGTTTTTCTTGCGCAAGAAGGGGCAGTGAAGACAGCTCCTTCTGGTGCAAGAGCCTCTTCTGCAAATATGGCGGCTCATTCGGTATGCAAATGAGGCTTAGCGATATTCCATGCTTAGCCTCATTTGCATATTTTTCGCGCAAGAAGCTGTGAGTGTGGACATAGCCTAAATTCCCTATTCTACCCTTAAATGAGCATCCACATTGCTCTTGGCACCTGTCTGTGCTACTGGATATTAATGGTTTAGTCTGCAAAAGCTGCTCTTGCCCACTTTCTGTTTCACTTCTGCAATGTTCACGCAGGGAATGTGAACATTTGTGTTACTGTTACTTTAAAAACAGTGACCACCAGTCTCCCTCCTCCCCCACAGCCCTGAAGGCTACAGCTGCCTCATGACAGGATTCCTGATGTGCCTTGAGTGACTCTGAGTGGCAAGTGTGATATTTATACCAGGTCTAAGCTAAAAAGTTAGGTTAGCCCATAGGTGCAAAAAATTCACAGTGCTGATTGACATAGTTAAGTAGTCAACCTAATCCCAGTATAGACAGGGCTAGGTCAATGGAAGAATTTTTCTATTGCCCTAGCAACCACCTAGAGGTGACTTTACTGCAATGGCAGGGTGTGACGGGACGCTACCGCCCTGCACTTGGGGGGACTGAGGCGAGTGCCGGAGGAGTCCTTGGGGGGTGGGGAGTCGGCCCGTCATGGGGTCCCGGGAACTGGCTGCGGACCCGTGGGCCGGCTCCACGGGATGTGGGGAGCACGGCGCGCCGCCGGAGAATGCCCCGGGAGGAGGGGCTAGCGCGGCGTGGGCGGATGACGTCATGGGGGGGTGACCCAGGTCGCATGCGCGGTGACGCCGGGAGCAGGAAGGGGGGAGGACGGCGAGGCGTGGGACAAAGGAGGAGCGGGTGAGGCAAGGGTCCCCGGAGGAAACTGGCCCCTAGGAGGGGCAGAGTAGGAAGCGGCCCAGGACAGGGTCGCGTAGCCCGTGAGCGGGTGTGTTTAGGGGCACTACCCCCATCCGCTAGGCGGGGACCGGCAGTCCCTGCCTTAGGGTCCTGGGTTGGGGTTCGGAGTGAGGGAGGGCCCGAACCCCCCTACTCCGCCCGGCAGAGTGTAGCCAAGCGCATCCGTGAGACCAGCAGCCTAGGTCAAAGGCAAAAGTAGAGTGACTCCGGGACCAGGGGGACGAGACACGGGACTATTTTGGGGGTGCTTAGCCATAAGATGTATACAATAAAGAGGGTGACGGGAACCCACCAATGGCAAGAGTAGCGTGATCTTTTTACACAGGAGAACCCTCCTGTCACTGGAATGTGTGTCTACACCAGGGGTGGGGAACCTTTTTGGGGTCGGAGGCCACTGATCCCCAGAAAAATCAGTTGGGGGCCGCACACAAGTGAGACGCAAAAAAACCCCAAAAATCAACCCTCACAGTTGTGGCCCCCAACTGAAAAGAAGAAAAGCACACCCCACATTACCCTTGCACACCTGAATCTTGGGGCCCAGCTAGTAGATTTTGTGTGCTCCAACCCCACATTGGGGCTGTGAGGGGCTAGAGTGCCAGTGCAGGCTCCCTAATGCTGGGGGGGTTGAGTCCTGAGCCTCATGGGTTGGATCCAGGCAAGCCGGGGGCCACATCTAGCCCCCGGGCCTGAGGTTCCCCACCCCTGGTCTACACACTACAGTATTTTTAAAGGAGATATAGACTTGGGCCTAAGAAGAACATCAGTGAGGTTTTGAAAACTCTAGCTGGGTACTCTGCTGAGGACCAAGCATCCAGACAGCATGGTCACCCAATATCACGTTATAAAGAATTACAGGCCTTCTTGAAATTGCTCAAGTCTCACCTTTATCTCCCTTCCTTTACCAAATAATACAACTCACTGGATCTTAGGTAGTACACTGGAGCATCTAGAAGCTAAACAGAGTACTGTACGTAAACTAATACAACACACATTCTGCTTTGAAATGTTGTCTTGTTCTCTGCCAAAAACAGCTGCCAAATGCTTTGAGAAGTGAAGGGGCGGGGAGGTCCTTGGAAATCTATGTGCACATGACTTGGCCAAGGTTATCCAGGAAAGGCCATTCAGACCTTTCTGCTGGGGTAGCTGTTCAGGGAAGTAACTCACCACAGAATTGAGTGACCTGGCTACATGTTGACTAAATGCAGTATGTCCTCCACTCATGGATAGTTCATATAAAGGAAAACAGCCTACTATTGCTGCCAGTTATTCCTTTTATTCCAAGGGGAAAAGCTCACGGTTTAGAGCTGAAGGTTCAGGATTCTATGCCAGATTCCAATTGCTGGAATCCATGTGATTTGGGTGCTGAATGTTCAGGACAGTTAATGATAGAACCCCAAACTTTTGGGCCTATGTTTTAATCTTACTTCCACTCCTGAGAAATGACCATTTCATCCCTATAGCTCTGTATTTCTTTTAATAAATCACTTTTACATTTTGTATTTTTTTACTTTATTCTGCCTCCCATTCTCTGGGGTCTTTGATTTTATTAGCAACTACTCTTATCCTCTGATGCCGTGTGATCTGACCATTCCTCCTGCTCTTTGATACAGTAGCATGTGATCATGAAGTAGTCTGGAAAATTTGCTGTTGCATATGGAGTTAAATCATTTTCATTGCTACATGGTGAAGCTATTTGATTACTGTTGCCAGGAATTTTCCATTAAAATATGTTATCAATGCAAAATGCA